AAAAAACAAACGGGATATCTCGAACAGGATGGTAGATTCTCTTGAAAGGAAACAGAGTTTATGGAAGACAACTCTTAAAATACCATTTAGCACAGAATAGGAATGAAAAAGCAGTACAACAACGAATAGAGCATTTATAATATGACGTTTGATGCATGCGATCGTAGTTTCTATGATGGGATGGATAAGCTTGAGTAAGCGTCATTGTTTGAAAACTAGTGATATGCACAGAGAAGGCTACCATCTCTGACAATTTTCTCCTTTGTGTAGAGTGCGCGTCTTCGAAGAAAACTCCGTTTCTCCTCCGACGGTCATGGACCGGGTTTCATATCGAAATCGTAGATAGTATTTAGACAGCGCTTCTAAATGTACATGTTCCTTTTTCCTTCAATCGACCAAAACTATGTGAGGAAATTCGTGAACATAACTACACAAGAACAATGGAAACTGGAATGGTAAATTGTTCAATCCGAATACCAATTCATCCTCATGTTTAGAAGGAGCCTTAGAAACCTCAGGCCACTCCAATCAGCAGTCAGTAGAAAAGTCATTAAAATTTAGTTACTTAATTAAGTTCAATACCCTTGGGTTTGCATTATAACAGGATTGTTTCCTCCCACCATCGGGTTCTCCAGATTCTCTAGTTTCGGAAAAGTATGGATATTGTCGGACGACTTTGGTTACTATAAGTAATATAACGATTTTCTGAAGCCATCACACACAGCTGAGTGGCTCATTCCAATACATTGTATCTGTACTGATCGATGTACAGAAGAGGGTAGTAATATCAGGATCACCATATTCAAACCAACGATGAGTGCTATCCAGCACGGATTCAGTTCAGTTGGTGTTAGTGTGCATTTGACTTCTACTGTACAATAGGTTTAATTTCAGTGAGTATAACTTTCCAATTGACCTATTCTTCACCTCGGGTGTATTGACCACACTCGTAATGTGAATCCAAACTATACTCAGTTGTTGTTTAATGTTATCTGTGGTTTATTTCTCGTTGCATGTATCACAATTTGCTGCGAGCATGGTCATTCCTCAATTTCATTTCCTTTCAGTTGAAATACTTCTCATTGTTCGAAGAAGCAGGTACAAATATGAGCAGAGAGCTGTGGCACAATGTCTTCATTCACGCGCTTGCTGATGCGTTTTATGGGTGTTAGGTCACACCTCTATCCTTCTCGATCTAGACGATTAATTAATGAAGGATTGCTGATGACGTTTCTATTAGTTTTAAGAGGGTGCAGTGAATTGAGGTTCCAAAGTCTCTTTTTAAATACGTTCAGCTGGAGCAGTTCACCATTCTTGTTTTTTCCATCCTTGTGCTGTCACATTTACGAATTTCCTCACTCAAAACATTGTTCATGGTTCATTAGAATGGCTTTAGGTGACCATATAGTTTTCATTTCTTATGATGGAGTCTCACGTAGCACACAGGTAAAATGAGCAGACATCGCTGCGTAAGATATCGACTGAGTAATTTTTTTCAGTTTCATTTCAGTGTTTTCACACATCCCATTAGATGACGACCTATTAAAAGTCAGCCTGTGTTCGTTTGAACATTTGACAAATGATCTTTATGGTCTATGAAAGGGTGTGCTGCTGCAAGCAACCGTATGAGCCCTGGACGAAGCTCATTGCGGCTTAAGCTTCATTGCAATCTGAGGTGAATCCCAGGGAAATTGAGGTTGAGCCTCGCGGTAAACCTCAGCAGAATGCAGGGGCAAAACTTTGCTTGAGGCTGGGAAATAAGCTGACCTCTTCTATTGAATACGTTAACTACAGCATTGCCACCGTGTGATATCACCAACCTGAAAAAAATGATTATCGAATGTCGGGATGCATTATTTGGAATGTTATGAATTTATTTCGAAATGTCAATGTGTATCATAAGTGATTAATTAGATCAAAAAATGGAATAAAATAAAATAACATCAAATATTACAATAAACATAATTTGCGTAACACGTGCACAAAGTTGTGAACATGCGTTCGCATTGCTCAAATCGAGCCAAAGTGAATTATGAGGTACAATGATTGGGTACTACAATGTAAGGGGGATATTTGGTAGGGAGCTAAGTCCCCGCCATCCGATAAATTTGACCGTAATAACATGAAATGAAAGCTGAACGAAAATATGAGGTTCATAATCGAAGATTCTGTTACATATATTTGCCAAAAGCAGCAACGTACGACAAAAGCTGAGTTTCATGAAATTATTAAGATCATTAGATGAAGACCCACCATAATTGTGCTGGCTTTCATCCGCAAAGTTCTGATTTCTCTGGCGAAAATCCTTGTTGGTTATGAAAGTCAGCCTGTGTTCGTTTGAACATCTGATAAAATTAGTTTGATTTTTATAGTTACCCATTTTGCTTGATAAACTGACAACTGTCTTTATGAGACAATACGTCATAGAGGGATGATAATTTGAAACTGAAACAAATTGGGAATGATTCATGAAGTTAAACGAATGTGCTTAATCAATTGATTCTAAGGAAATGCCCGATCAATATAGCTTATTTCTGCATCTGTCAATTGTCAACATATAGCAACATTTGTGAAAGACTATTTCATTAGTATACCGTATCTGTTCCCTTATTCTAGTCTAATTGACTTCAGAAAACTTCAATGGACGAAGGCGTTCATCGTGCAGAACGTCTTGCTACGCTTCTCACATCTCGTAACGGACTCATTCGTCGGGAAGCTTCAGAAGCTCTTGGTCGTTTCCCGCTGACAAATCCTAGCATTCCTTCATTGATCAGGTGCGTGCGCCTCCAAGACATTTCATTTTTCTTATTTTTCATTCTGATTTCAGTAAATTTTGCATGGTATCTTATATACTGGAAGCTCTGGAGAGTAGCAAATGCTAGTAAGCGTTTGCATTAGTTTTTAAAAAGTGGCCTGTTCAAAGTTTCCCATTTGATAAAAACTTATCGGGTTTTTCAAGCCGTAGTTACGCCATTTGCTTTTACTCTGAATTATTTTGTTGATAAGGTCAGTTACGCAATTTTTAAACAAAGGTGATATTCTAATATTTGCAAAATCTATCGTCGAAGTTCCGTATTTAATTGATATTTCTCGTTCTATTGCGCTAGTCGAGTGTGATGTTTTCATTTAAATAGAAGGCTGATAAATGAAACATACAGCTTCTTTGAAAACATTTTCGCTGATTTGATAACGATAATCTATCGTCAATTTTCAGACAGTATTTGCAAAACAGTTCATGGGAGACTCGCGTCGATGCGGCAAAAACGCTACGATTGATTTTAACTTCAGTATCAACTGCTTCGAAAGAAGTTGTTCCGTCAACGAAGTTGCTCAAGTCTCTTGATCTCACATTAGTAGTTCGCGATTACTATCCACTGTTAAGGTGATTTTTCTCATAAGTTACGAAATTCATATTCACATATTTCATATTAATGACTCATATCATATTTCCTAATCCAATCGTAATTGGATTTATTTTATTCGTACTATGATATGGGTACATTAAGTCTACGAAGTAATGTGCTACGGGGAAGGAAAAATGTTGGAGAACTTCAGAAAAAAAATTCGTTTTCGTCCCGTTCACGATTTCCGAATTTTCCTCGAAAATGTAACTTCTGAACCCGTGTCAATAAAGGCTAGAAAAGAAGAATGTTGGCCGGAAAAGCATCGAAATAAAGCAATCTGTACGATAGAACAGAGATTACCGCTAGGCCACAATACGGTTTTAACGATGATATTTTATTTAACCACACGGAAAAATAAACGTTGCGTAGTCTTTGGCAAGAAAAAATGAACAACATTCTAGAATGACAATAACGCGAATTTATTTTTGTGCACGCTGTAGAAATCGCCTGGGTTTATCACTTGAAGTTTAGGCTAAATTACGGTTTACAATAATATCTCTGTCACAATGATGGGAAGTACGGTTTTCTCCTCACGGTACTGAGATAACCAAAAACCTTTTGCTCCTTTAAAGATAGAAGTCAGTAATTTTCGAACTGTCGTCACGCATTGTTTTTATTTTCTTCTTCGACACATCCGCTTCTTCGGCGGAGACCATGCTCAGATGATCGAGAAAACCCTTTGGTGATGATTGTTTCATAGCGAACTCCTTTTCACACACATATCAAACGAATGCATTTCATACCTCTTTCTCTCAAAACCAAGTATTTTCACGCTGCACTCCCACTGACCAAACCTCGTTTTTTTGCTCCGTTCTTTCCATCGTCACAGGGAATGTCGGTGACGATGGAAAAGACGGAGTCCCCGAAATATCTCGTCCCCGCAGCACACTACTATAAAGATGAAATGAGTGCTGACCAATTCAATCAAACGATTTTTGCTTGTTTTTTGCTTTTGTATGTGTACCCATCATAATATTAATAAGCGGTTTTGATAAACGTGGTTAATGGTTAAAGTTGTGAAAATGAAGTGGTATTCCGTATGGGGTCATGTTCATGTGATGAACGACGAAAATTTATGGACAAACAGCGCAAATTTGTGGATGAGCAACTTCGTCTGCAAACCAAAGCTGGCGTTTCGTGTGCACCATTTGTCACACAAGATGATTTTATAAATTATACCGATTCCGAGAAGAATGCTGAGGTGAAGGTAATGTATTTTAGTCAATAACGCTATTCTGTCTATCATTTCGAAAAAAAAATCTCTTTAAAGTTTTAGCGTATTGTTGTTTTGTGTATGTTCTGAATGTGTTATGTAAAACAGATTGTATGAGTATACGTAACAGATAAATTCAGCAATTGTTCGTGTCATCACATAAATGATTGAATGGAATATTCATTTTTCTATTTTTTTAAAATATTCATTTTCTGATTGAAATGTATTTGGTTGTTCTTTCAGCTGAGTCTCGTAACTAGCACGTTGAGTTTGAACGAGCAAGAGATATGCGACGATTTTGACTTGAAATTGCATCAGTTATGCGTCCAGTTGTTAACCGATCTCGCTGACTCAAAATGGGAAATTCGTCATGGAGCAGCACTTGCGTTTTCTGCTATTCTCTCAAGTGTTCCATCCAGGTGATTTGTTTTGTCATTATCATCAATGAAGTTTGACTTGTGATAACACCAAGTAAATACTTTTATATTGTTCATGAAAACAATTCATTTATCGATAAGTGAATGCTGCAAACAAATCGTGATGGCAATTACAACATGTCTCTTTTGTTTCATCCTTCCAACGCCTTATCTTCACGTGGCATTTTTGAAATTCCTCCTCATAATTCAGCCGTTTATTTGAATGCATCTGCTTGAATGTTTTGCAGAATACTTCCTTTAATGTTTTACAATCGAATTTTGATGCGACTATAGTAATACATTGTTGTTCGCGTTTAAAGCACATAACTGAATCTCGCATTTTCAATAAATCCGCAGTTATTAGTGGAGTGACATGATTAGTTCCTAGTGTTAATCAGTGGAAAATTCTAACATCTCTAGCATCCTAAATATTTTATGCGATTTGTTCCGTTTATGCGCTTGCAAATTCTTGATAATGAATTTGTTTTGATTATTCGCATATTAGCTAATGTTTTTTTATAGTGCACTATTGGAACATAATAAATGTTTGTTAATGATCAATCAGTTATAGGCTGTCTTCCGATTTGATTGATCTCATAAGCACTCGATTCTTTCAAACTTTAGCACTTGATAATTTCATCGATTTTGCATCTGGAAGGTTTGTGCTCCCTTTTTGTTTATTATTTGTATCAAACAAGAATAGTTTCGTCATTGTTGACTGCTTTGGTAAGAGAATGAACGAGCGTTTCAGATCAGCAGTTGGACCAGTACGTGAATGTATAGCTGATTGTATTGCAAAACTTTTCATAGCGTATCCGAATGAGGAGTTCATTGAAACGGTAGCGAATCACATATTTGCTTTGTACAATATTAAAGAAACGAATTCGGTTGCAACTACTTCATCAACAACAAATACTGACGACCTCTTGAAACATGTTTGTTTCTTTTCTTCATTAGGAATACACTTATGAAAAATTCATTGTTCACTTTTATGTGTTTCACTGTTGTTCTGCAACGAAGTCATATTTCCTTATTTTTGTTTGTTTAGTTGTGGTTTCAACGACAAGCAGCTTTACTTGTTCTGAAATATCACTTTGCTGGACATCTTTATCATTTGAAATTCGAACAATTTTATGGTTTAATCAAACGTTCTTTTGAAGATACTCACGATGAGGTAACTAACTCCATTCGTTTTTCACTTTTAAAATTTCTTTTTTCCAAGATAATTCGACATTTTTTCGAATATATTTTTGAACTGTATCAAGTGAAAATCTGAAATTGGGTTGCAAATATTTCATACTTTCTTAGATCGTTTTCGAATTTGGCGGATCACCAAACCGAATAGCTTAATTACCTTTATGTAATGCTGAGCCAAAATAGGCAATATTCTTCGACTAATTGCTTTTTCATTGCTTTCTGATTCAGGTCTCGTCAGCCGCTTTATCAGCAATCACTGCATTATTTTGTAAGGAAAATTTGAAAGATGATATCACTGAATTCCTTTCTCATATTGAACTCATCATCTATCGTTTCATTGATGCAGCTTGTAGTGCGACCAAACAGCAGCAGGTTAATTTTATCATCGATGGAGTGTTGCTCAACTGATGATGCGTTTTCATTTCAGCTGCTCGATGTTGACACTGTTATCGTTGATCTTCTAACACTCTTACAAACATGGATGCTGTCCTCCGAAAAAAGAACTCCTCCATTTTCGGTGTTGATAAGCTTGTCACGATTACTAAATCCTATCTTATTGACGAGATGTATTAAGATCGTTAATATCTTCTCTATGTGCTTCTCCAGATCTTTAGAGGTAATATTTGAATTTTTGGATTAATATCTCATTTTTAGAGCGTTCTTTTGTAAAAGTCATTTCCGAACAAGACTGATGAAAACATACGCTGTCATTTCCCGAATTGATCACAAAATGATTGAAATGAGCAAAAATATCTTTCTCATCGAACAAACACAAATGAACTGAATTTTTTGAACGTTTCCATCAAGAGTTTTATCGAAGCCGTAATACTTTCAATACTAATGATGTTGGTTGAATTTATTCACTGTGAATAGCATCACTTCTAAAGCAATTCTGAATGCAGACAATCAGTAGCACAGTTCACGATCATTTTCCAAGTGCTTAATTACAATTGAATGAAATAAGCAACGTTTTGTATTAAGCTGCAAAATCAAGATGCTACGTTTGAAGAGTGTTGTATGCAAGTGGTGTCATCGTTGTTTCGTCTTGTACTGTTCACTGCTCCGTACGAAACCGAGAAGCTTATCGAGGCGTGTATCTCTTGTGCGTATTGTATAAGTGCACAAATCACATTACTCAATCAACTGCCATTCGCTCTTGTGGAAACATTCGGCCGTTGGTCTGCGTGTTTAATGTTAGATGCGAAATGTGCTCAGATTGGTTTGTTTAAATTAGTCGTTTGCGGATTGAATTGCTTTATTGATACGTTGAAATTTTTGCATTTTGCAGATTTCTTTGATTGTTAAATTGGTAACTTTAATCCTTTGAGATGATAATTCACCATTGACAGATGTGACGAAGCATAATGTGGGTGAATTTGTTGAGAACGAGCGTTTGGAACTGATGTGTGGTGATGAAATCCGTGCTCTGCCTGATATGGAACGAATTGACGCTCTGATCACCCGAAAAGTACACATAGCCAGGTTTTTGGCACCTCTTCTATCGGCTATTCACAGCTTCCCATCAATGGTTTGTTTTGTTTCACGTTTTCTCATCAAACCGTTATAACGGAGCATGATTTGCTTGGGTTCTGTTCAAGTGAACGAGTGTGACGGTTCGGAACCAAACCAAGACTGTGCTTGTAGTATGTGCTAGGTTTGTGCATGAACAACTTATAGAATGATAATGGAGCATGGCATACACTCATTCATCATTTATGCATCGCAAGTAAATGATGTGTTGGTGTTAGTTAGTGTAGGTTCAAGTTTAAAAATTATGGGTTACAGGATAATCACGGCAACGGTACAATGCGCTATAGGGTATATGATCATAATAATTAATTCAAAGTGAATCTAAAATACTGATGTAGCGTTGATAATATCTGAAAAATGGTACTAAGTGTTAGGGAATGTGAAGAAGATAGATTTTTGAAACTGAATGAATAAATACAATGAATAATGGAAGCACCGTTTTATGAAATTTATATTAGATCGGCAATCAGTCGTTGAGTGACGCAACAGAATTGTTGATTACGCCAATGCTTAGTTCACCAGCAATTATGCATCGACTTGGTGGTTCACTTCTCACTCATAGCTGGTTTTCATACAATTGGTTAGTTGACCAAATTTTATTTTCATTCTCTTTTGATAGAGAAATGAACGATGTGTGAAAGCAAGTATGCAAATTCGCCTTTCTTTCGATTCGTTGCAAGCAGAGTCATTTATGATTTTAACATTAACGTTGTGGAAAACAAAAAGAAAATTGCTTCCCAGAAAACTTGTCGAAATTGATTCAGTGAGAAAAGAATCAGAAAAAGATTGAGTGATTCTGATGGTAAAGAAGTAAACCGAAGGTTACATCCGTTCAACTGTAGTAGTTATAACTGAATGATTTTAAAAATACGTCCAATGCAGTTTTTCGCTCACCGATCGATTATCTTGAGGTCAATCAGTAAGAATGAAAGCAATCCACCAATTTTCTTGGTTGCGTTATTGCAAAAAATGGTTCTTCAATCGCAGACGTTTGCATATGACGATGAAAAATTCTTTTTTCATTATATGGAGAGTGCATACAAAGAATTTGTATCGTATTGCCGTCGAAAAGGTATTCGAACCAACGAAATTGAGCATATCGAAAATTCGGCTGGTTCTGTGGACGTTTACGCAAGGTTTTTGTTTTACTCATCAAATTTTTGAATTGATGGACTTCAATCGATTATTATATGCATATTTTTGAGTTAGGGATCGAGGACGTTCACTTCATAATTCTGAATTTGCACCGAATTATAGGATGAATTGCAGTCTTCTGCATATATGATAATAGAAGTTGTTTGTTACACATTGCAGGAAAGTGTTTGATATGTGCTTATTGCGTATCAAGAAAGATGATGATCGGTCAGCGTTGAATTCTCATTACGAGAATTTTAATAATATTGTCGCTACTGCAAAAGCTGTTATGACTCTCAATGTTTTGTGAGTCTTGGTTGCTTTTCCTTCATTGAAGTATTGTTAAACAGTTTTAATTTTATAAAGTCGAGATTCCTGAAAACAAAACTATTTCAGCTAAATTTCTTTACTCAACTATGAATCACAATTCTAGCAATCATCTTATGATGTCATTTCCATTAATTTGCTATATTTTGTTTTATCTCGCCTTTTACTTACATCATATTTCTTAATCAGTAAATAAAAACTGAACGAAGATAGGAAAACGACAAATCGTATTATTGATCCTTATTGAGAGTGATTTTGTTTATAGACGGGTGAATGCTCTTCTAGTATCTGCACTGATCACTGTCTATCCACAAATAGTTTGTGAATCGAATTCGTTGAATCCGTTCGTGAAACCGTTTATGGAGTTGCTGCGTTCCGAGGAAAATTCAATTGTTGCACGTCATGCGCTCAATTCATTACCCATTCTTTTTAGGATCACCTCAGGTTTACTTTCCTTTCTTATACTCTTCATATGATATGTTGCACTAAATTTGTATTGAGCAATAACCTCCTAATTTATGTTGTGACTGAACTGCCTCCAAATTTGATAATATGTCTGAATGCATAACAGTCTTTGTGATATGGCTCTAAGAGATAGCTTCAAAGAGAGTATAAGTGATTCCTTGTTTTATTTTGTTGTTTTGCAGTTAAGAAGCCATCTCCACACGCGAAAATGATCAAACAAATCGTAACGAATCTAACTTCGTGTGAAAATCATTTTCCTCAGGATTTTGAATTGTAAGTCAATCGGTTTTTAAAATGACACTGGTCACCTTTTTCAGTGTGTCCGTTTTATTGAATAATATATTCAAGTCTTCAAAAATTTCTTCTATTTGTTAATCTATCAGGTGCAAATAGCCGAAAATTTTATCAACATTGAATCCATTTTTGAGCTGCTCCCGCACGATATAATTAAGTTGTCATTCAATTTTGTTTATTTTAAATTCTGAGTGCAAATGTTCAGATGTGAAGCAACTGTTTTATCGCAAAAGATCAATGGAACGGCGTCAGTTCGTTCACAGAATGCAGAATTCGCTATACGTGCCCTCGGAATTCCATTTGCATGCGTTGAATTAAGTGATTTACTTGATTTTCGCAAATTTGATTCGCCAAAGGTTGGTCCATTATGCAACGTTTTGTTTACTTTATTTGATTTTTTCATTTACTCAACGGACATATACAATCGCTCTTTGAATTATTTTTCTGGTTGAAATTTTCACCTAAGTTGACTGAAGCAGTGTTCATTACAATAGATAATATTTTGAAGTCGTTCAACAGTAGCTTTTACCTCGTATGTTGGTTCAAATGTGGTGGCGTAGTTAACGTGCTCGATTAGTGGGCTACTTTCTCATCGCATAGTTCTCTTCGTGTATTAAAATCGCACTCGAAATCCTTCTCGTATTTTCACGAAATTTCGAAGAATGCTTTAACAAAGTACTTTTGTGTAGTGTGATGCGGGGTTCGTGGAACTTTTTTTCCGTGTCCGCACCACACAATTTTTGTCATCTTGAAAATGAATTGTATGCACTACTTTGAAGGTATGTGATAGTATCATGTGATATTTGCTAAAATTTTTGGATGTTGGAAATTTGAATGCAAAAGTTTGGCAGTAAAATTTGTTTTGAAGGTAAAAGGCATGTATATGGATGCGTTCAGGGTGTACGTTGATGAACTGCACGCAACGAGCGGTACAGCACCGGTCATTGTTCGTGATGTATTGCCGGAATTAAAGATTCATCTCTGTGGTTAGCTTCTTCTCATTTCCCTCAGAGCTGGTCGTTAAGTGTGCGCGTGTTATTCGTCGTAATCTAAAATTAATTGTGTGGCAACCGTTGATGAAGTTCAATTTTAGTGCCAATAACAATATTGTAACGATGCAAATAATGTTGTTTGCAGCCGAATGTGCAGCATTGCGTTTTTGTGCAGCTCGATGTGTGAATGCAATCGTGCGCTTGGATGGTGTTCTAATAGATGTGCTGAATTCAGTTGTGATACCGTTACAGAAAGAACTTCGCTCTGGTGTTGCTTCAATAAGTGCACGTTGTGGACTTGTTGAACTGCTTTTCTTTATGTCGCAGTTAAGTGTTGAAGTGAGTTAGTCTCTATCGTTGATCCAATTTTGTTGAATCGATCCACCGAGTTGTTCACTGTTGGAAGACGTTGAAGCGCAGTTCTTCACGATTAACAATTAGTAACTGATGAACGGATTCCTATTTTATGAAGCGCATGCGTTTTGGAAGATATGACTGATTTTTGACGGGAAACATGCCAATGCAAATTATTGATTAACATTTCTCCAGAAATTCCGACGTTTTTCCTTTATGATATCGATGATATCATCTGCAAAACTGATCGATAGTAATGTAAATGCAAATTGAGAAACGCGTTAATTCATTCGTTCTCAGTTACATCACCATCTCTCAATTCGCATTTACGTCAGCATCGATGTTGTGAATCAGTCAGATGCCATAAAGATGAAATAATGTGTTTCGTGTGAGAAAACAATGATATCGATGTATCTGTAGGTGATAGGTGCTTTGAGACTAATTGCTCCACTCTCACTGCGCCTCATGACCGACAGTTGTGAAGAAGTCCGGCAGACTGCTGCGATCGCATTCCGCAATTTCGTTCCACTTATGGCAATCAAAGCTGTACGCATTTTCATTATTTTCCTATTATACTTTTCATTATTATCCTATTAACATACATCCTTTTTCATATTACTTTTTTATACTACAGAGAAACGTTCAGTGAACGATTACAGTTTGTTTTTGGATTTTATCATTGACTCATTATTCAGTAATGAAATTAGAACTTGATTTCATAGTATTTTTTGATCGTAAGTGCCCTTGTTCCGATGTTGTTTAAAATCATCATTTGTAACCAATATTTATGAGGTGCGTATTTTTGTGTTCATGGATGGTTTGACCCGTTCAGTGTTAGAAATCAAGTAAAATGTGCTATTATAACGGTAACATTCAGAGCATCAAACAATGAAACTTATAGGATAGAGCAAAAAATGGTAAAATATTATCGAAAAATGACGGCGCTGACTCAGAGATAACCGATTGCTCAATTGATTTGTTGTTAGGTGATCCAAGTCGCCTTTCGCCTCTCAAAGTTGATCAAATCAAGGGACTTTGCTCATCGGTCATATTAAGGCCTTATCAACAGGTATTTTTCGTCGTTCTCCAACACTGATTTCCAGTAATCAACAGATGTCGATCATAATTGATTTGTTCATCGGCGTCCTCTTTTGCTCTCATTAGAGTCCTTTACTTGAATCATTAACGAATTCACATTCTGCCGATCAACACCTGTATTGAGTTTGTGCATATTCTTAGTTTTCGTTTGGTTCGCTTCATTCCTTCTCATCCTAATCGAGGAGTGATCCTATTCGGAATCACTGATGTATAATCACATGTTATACTGTTTGTTAAATACTATTTTTATTCAGCCATCCAACATGTTAAAGCACTTTGCCTTTTGTGTTGTTATATTATTGTTTGTACATATTTTCTTACCCACTGTAAGCAAAAACCCATCTATCTCTGCTTATAATTTATTTGCGTATATCGGCTCTAGAGCCCGTCTCAACAACTTTTTCGTGCCATTGTCACCTCTCTAGAATAAGTCATATATTTTGAAGTTTTTTGGGTTGAATTCTTAATCCACTTATATTTTGTAGGAAGGTATTCGATGGATGTCTTTCTTGGAAGAGTATGGATTGAATGGCATATTAGCTGATGATATGGGTCTCGGCAAAACGTTGCAAACGTTATGTTTAGTAGCGTTGAAAATTCATGATAAACCCACTGCTAAGGTTCGTCGCTGAGGCTTTGCGATGCAATTCTTATTTTCAAATTCACATCGTGCGCAGTTAAATGATTTATCAATAAAATATTCTGAAGTAGTTATAGGTGAAGCGAAAACCAAATTGTTATTCGTTACGAAACTGTATATATGCAGCTGTTAATATGGCTCGGTCCGAAATTTGCCATCTCATAGTGGCATCTGAGGACATCAGAGTGATATTCCTGCACTTGAAATTCTTCCTAGAAATGTTTGGGATTTGCTTTAGGAATACTTGGATGTTGTTCTCAAATTCAGATGGCAGGTGTTGTTATTTTGATCGAGTTCTCACGATGTTGTGGGAATGTTACGAACCGCGAGCGTTTTTCAGTTGCAGTTAGTATTGATAAAGAAAATTTTATTCAATTTTAGATTTTGGTAGTATGCCCACCCACTTTAGTGGGGCATTGGTGTGTTGAATGGTCAAAATATTTTCCGAACCTTGCACCTTTCCATAAGGTGAACGAAGGTGTAAAAGACCAAAATAGTTTGGCGATGAGCGGCAGTCAGTTCGCGACAGTTGCTTCTTATAATACAATTCGAGCGTGTTCATATTTTCAGTTGGTTACATTTTTGTTCTAAAAAAGTTCTTTTTGTACTTCTATCTCCATTGTTACTATTCATCATTCGATATTTGGCGTTAATAAAATTGGAAATTTCTTTCAAATAACGAAGAAGGTGAATAGGTTTGATGTGAATGTATCAAAAAAAATATTGTCAAAATTTAATTGTGAAGAGGATTTCATTTATGATCTAATATATTACAGAGATATTGACTGGTACTATGTGATTCTGGACGAGGGTCATGCGATACGTAATCCAACGACGCAAACGTTCAAATCAGTCACATCTTTACGTGCCCAGAATCGGCTCATTCTTTCCGGTACACCCGTTCAAAACACGCCAGCCGATTTATGGGCACTTTTTCAGGTTTCACCTCGTTTGGATTCTGTCTGAGCCTGTTAGATTCGTATTTCTTACGAGATTTCCGACAATGTTTTACAGTTTAGGGACGTACTTAATTCGTTTTATATTTCAATAAACTCGTTTTATATTTCAAAACTAAATTGTTGTTATTTTCAGTTTCTAATGCCAGGTTATCTAGGCTCAATGAAACAATTTAAAACGACGTTCTTGAAAGCAATCAACGCCTGTAGAAATGTTAATGCATCCCCCAAAGAAATACAGGTTTCTGTTTTTTCTATTTAAGTGTTCATCTGAAATGCTTTCGTTTTTCATAGCTTCATCGTACGAACTCAATAAAAATTCTTACCGATAAAAGTCGATGGCATCCTAACTGGTTTTCAGCATTCGAAGTTTTACCTCTTCCATTCCAAATAATTTTTATCCAGATTCTCGCAGTTCTGTGGGATGAATGTTCGCTTTCATTCCATGTATCATTAGTTTTGTTCATTTCTTCTCGTAACATTTGAAGTTATACTTTCAAAAATATTCACTTCACTTTGCTATGTTCAGAAATAATGCAAATAATCTTCGATCATTCGTTGTTTTTTTCATCTTCGTGATTTCTTTCTCACTATCGATTATTCATCCTCAACATCTCACATCTACTCACCAATTCGATGATTCAAGGATGGTGAAAATGCATTGGAACGTTTGCACAAAGCGGTATTACCGTTCGTAATGCGTCGCTTAAAGACTGACGTGCTCAATGATCTCCCGGATAAGATAGTGCAAGACTATCTGTGTGTGATGACCGATGTACAGCGTGCTTTATATGAACATATCATTGATCTGTGCAAAACCGGACTAAATTCTACTGAGCAGCAATCTGAACAACGCCTTAGTGCTCTTGAGACGATTACTGAATTACGCAAGTGTGTTGTACACCCAGTGCTGGTTGGTGCGAAAGCAAAAACTTGGTAATTCATTGTTCTTATCACTTATTCATTTCGGTTGTTTAAGAAACGACCTTTTATGAATCTTCATTGATTTTATAATAACTTTTCGTGTTTGTACCTTCAGCATATTTGTGATTATTTATTATTGAGACGTTCGTGAATGTTTTCCGTTGTTCTTCAACTTTAACTTTAACCGATTAAGGCGATGTGATAGTTCTGTTTCTTTATAAAAGCTGATAATTTTTCATCTTATCGACTCTGTAATCTTCGGTTTCATTTGAAAGAGAACTATTGATGAATGTTTCGAATTTTCAGTTTCAACTCTGTTATCTTTGGGGTAGCAGTTGAATCTGGTAAGATGAAAGCTCTAGGGCAGTTGTTATGTGAATGTGGTATTGGCTCCATGGAAGAATATACGACCAGTGAATATTCTGTACAGGGTTGGTCCATTCATTTGGAAAGTTTCGCTTTGTGGACGTCTGCCTCAGTTGCTTTCTCCGTATTTTTTGTGTGCTTTTCAATGAGTTTAGACGTATGCAAGCCTCAGTTTTCATCTGTTCTGAGTGTGTGCTAACAGCCTTATTCAAATCGTTCATTGCATTTTATGATTTACTCGTTAATACTGGTTGAATCTCTCTCGGAAGATGATAAGTTATGTTCAATTTTGTGAGGCTTACCTCAATTATAGATAGTGGAGTTTCCACACTGGACTCTCATCGAGCTCTCATTTTTTGTCAGCGTCTCTCAACCCTTCAAATAATTGCCGATTTTTTCAATTCTGGTCAATTAGGTATCAACATTAGGTCAGTTTTATCCATGATACTCTACTCTTTGCTTAATATCTATGAACTGTCAACGCAAATGTTTTTTGAACGGGATGCAATTTTCGCAATTGAGTTTGAACTTGACTGACTTCATGCAGGTAGCATATGAATGAAGTCTAGTTACGGGTTGTAAAAGGTGTGGCTTTGGATTGTTGAAAAGGCGAAATTACTTCATCGGTTCATTTAGTTTATCGTACTGTGATTCACTCGATATTTTTGATTTTTATTTCAGGTATTCCATTCTGGATGGAACTGTACCAGTTAATGAACGCTATGCAATTGCTGAAAATTTCAATAACGATCCGGGAATTGATGTTCTTCTTTTAACAACTAGTGTTCGTTGTGTTGTTCTTTAGTTTTGTCTTATTTATTCATATAAAATGTTTTGTATTCTTTTTTGACGAATAATTGTTGTCATCGAGCATGTGTTAACATTTGAAGTAAGTGAATATTGTTTGGTTCCCGTTCTAATTAGATTGGATTGCTTTTTGTATATTTCAGGTTGGAGGCGAGGGATTGAACTTGATCGGTGCTGACGTTGTGATATTTGTGGAGCATGACTGGAATCCAGTCAAGGATCTACAAGCAATGGATCGTGCGCATCGAATCGGTCAAAAACGTACCGTTAACGTCTATCGACTCATTACCGAATCGTCCATTGAGCAAAAAATTATGCGGTATCAGAAATTCAAAACGGATACGGCAAATGTGAGGAGTATAATTTATTATTTCATAAATTTGCTTATTTTATTAACAATAGTTGTTCGCCATACCAGGTGAATTCGAGTATTCTCGTATTCGGAGAATGTTCGTAGTGAAAGGATCGTATAGCATTTCAGATGTTTAATGAATCTAGTACAAATTTTAACTTTTGATGGATTTAGTTCCAGTGTAACGGATTGATGATTGCTCATATGAATAATTCAGGCACTGGTAGGCGCAGACAATCGCTCGTTGCAAACGATGGCTACTGAGCAGCTGGTTGAGTTGTTCACTTTAGAAGGGAGCGGCAACGGCAAGAGTACGCCATCTTCAGTTGGTCAGTCTGTTACATCTTCTCAAAAAATATCGAAAAGGAGCGAATCTCAGCAAGCGCTTTCGAATGCTTTTGATCCTGTCGAGAAATGGGATCTTCAGGAGCTATGGGATCAATCACAGGTTCGTTTATTTGTTTATCAGTTTATTGAATTAATCAATCGAACACATATGATTAAATTGAACCATTTATGGGCTTCTCACAATCTGTATGTTTTGCTTATGCACAGTCACTGAGTTTACTGTGTATGATTGATTTGAACATAATGACGACTTCCATAAACGATAAATCATGTGTTGTTATATTCAACAACTATATTCGTTGTTTGCAGTATGACTGCTATAATGCTGTGAATATTGCAATGGAAGCCAATGACAACGCGTCGCTTAAAAAATTGAAACGTCACTCCTCAGATGTGCCATCATCATCGAATCTATTTCCCACTAAGCAATCTCGACGTCATTGTTGAACACTTCAGCAACTACTCTGTGTTATGTGTTGATGCATTTTTGGGACTGTGACAAAGTGTGGAGTGTGGTAATTAATGGAGGATTTATTCGTCCATGTTATTCTACTGGCTTATTACTCATTAATTTTGCTGTTAACCTTGTTTATGTGCGAAAGCGTTGTTTTTTGAGAAGGACGTTCTGAATTGATGAATATCAACAATTACAATTAAATTTGTTTCTTTTCCGCATTTAATTCTCAAATATTTTATTCACTTTGTGTCTTGACTTTGATTCTGAAAGCGTTTTTCATTTGAATTATTTTTGATTTAGGTTTAACCATCAACATGCAATTGATATATTGTATTTGGAAACTGCTAATCATTGAAAATAATGAAAGTTTCAGTTCTTGTTTGATCTGAAATTCTGTTTGTAAATATTTGCTATGCGAATCGTCTCAATCTTTAAGGAAGACGAAAATGCCCTAGGGATATTTCGAACGATTTTCTCTTCTCTCAAATATCGTTTATTTTTTCGTTATTTCCAGTTTCATGTGTACTTCTACAGAACGATTTACACTTCTCATGGGTCATTTTTGTTGTAAACTTGTTGATTAACAGTTACCAGCTAAATATGAAGGTATTTTATGTAAAATTTATTACGGCTGATCAACTTCAGTTCATTAACGAGATAATTCGAAGGAATGGAGGAGCTTTATCCAAATATCTTTTTCTTTTTGATAATTTATCGTGTAATATTTTTCGTTTTCGGGTTCAACTACTGTGCTCACTATGATGTTTTATTTTTTTAAATTGTTGTTGATTTTGACAACTATTTCGAAGTGACGCTGTATTTTTCGCTTCATTTGTCAATGTTGATGTTTGTGAATGGATTTATCGCCAATATATTTAACGCAAATTGATAAACATGTTTATCAAACACCGATGTTGCTTTCTGCCATGTAACCCTTCAATGAACACCAAATTTGTTTTGAATATTACACTTTCAAAAAATTTAGTAACAGTAACGAAGTGGATTAATCAGTTTGTCCACTAAACTAATTACTCAATTTTGCAATCGAATATCGTCTCAATCTGATTTCTCATTATGCCCACTGCATAATTTAAGTGAGGCCAAAAAAATACTACTGTGATGCATTTCCACGATAATTAACTAACAGAAACGGATGTACTTGCATAACTGTTTTGACGGTGATGCAGAGGTGTGATCTAGGGTTTGCAAAATCCCGACGTTTTTTCAATTCCGGGATCGATTTTTGATCCCGGGATCAAACAATTTTTTAATATCGATGCGGAACATGTTCAAAAACATTTTTTCGAACCAGTATGTTCATTATTAATTAGAAAGGAGTTAATTCAATAAATTATTGAACAAATTCGAGGAACCAAGTTATTCAAATTCAAATTAATATTTCATATAATGTTGCTAATGATCATGTCGTAAGGGCA